CTTGGATTTTGAAGCGGGTAGTTTTTGAACAGGAAATTTTGCACGTTCTGTGATCGGTAATGTAGATTCGTGGAAATTTCAACAAATTGGGCGCAAAATTCTGCAAGAAAATACAAAAATGGAAGTTTCCTAGAAGAGAGCATTGTCTATCTATGTTAAGCTATTACTGGATAAATTTTTCATCACTCAAGTTTTAGGATTTTTTCAAATGTTTCTAAAATTAAATTTTTTGCATTTTTTCTCATCCTCTTCGCCTCAAATAATTTGGTTAGTGATGTATAATACTTGTTGATTGAATTTATGGTTTCTCTTCTGGGTGATGGTCAAATCAACTAGGGTGGTGAATTTGTTACTTCTACCTTAGTACAATAACAAAATTTATAATTTTAAAACGGAATACAATGGTGCATCGGTACAAACCTTATACAAAAATTTAGCGATGATGCATTCCCTCGCGATGGCAGTAGTTTCACAGCCGTAGAACCAGATGTGCATGCTGCAGTAGCACCAGACAACACACCACAAGCACCACAGTTTCGTCAAAATTTTGTTCCGCAACCGCACTTCGAGCCAGGGCAACAAGGAGGAGGAGGTCCGTTCCAAGGAGGAGCACAGGAGCAGTTCCCTCAGCAGAGGCAGGAGCCGTTCCCACAACAGCTGCGGGAACAGTCCTTCCCACAACAGCAATTCCCACCTCAACCTCCCCAGCCAAGACGCGAAAATATGCAAGGAGACTCCTTCCAACGTCCCCAAGTCATTCAGGCACCACTCTCAGGACCTGTCCAGCAGATATTCAGGCAGCCTACGCCGATTCTCCCACGTACCCGACCCATGGGACGGCAAGTTCTTCGACGTAGACATAGGATCCAAAACCAACTGCGACCTCAGGATAGGCAACAGATCGTCCAGGCACAGTTTGTACCTCCTCAGGAGCAGAACAATCTGCGACAACCGGTGCAACCACAGCGAAACTTTGTTTCTCAACCGCAGCCTTTCCAACAGAATCTGGCACTCCAGAACCAGCCATTGAGACCAGTTCAACAGCCAGCTCGGGAGCAGTTTAATCTACCTCCACCAACGCCTGCTCAGCGGGA